TTTTTTTTTTTTTCATTTTTCTTTCCAAATATTTTTTCAAATCTCCTAAACAAATACAACATTATTTCAAAGAATAGGGGATAGTGTGATTTCTATGCTACATAGAAAAAGTGTAATTTATCTAAGGTGTCGTTTGGGAAGTGAGTTGGTTTTTTAATTTTTTTGACTATTTTAGCCTGGGCTAAAAAGTTTGGTTAGGGAATGGCTTTTTGGCTTTTTGACTTTTTTGACTTTTTTTTTGGTGAGAGAAGTGTGTAATGATTATGGGTTGGAAGTGATATTTTGTTTGTTGTGACTAAAATAACTTATTTTGTCTTTTGTAGCTAAAATAGCCAAAAAAAACCTTCCAAACCTTCTTCCCAAAATGAAAAATGAAAGGAAAAAAATATATTTTTGATTGGGCTAAGAAAATGAAACTAAAGTGAATAAGTATCCCTCAAAAATTTATTTATTTATAGTTACCCATAAAAGAATAAAAAAATTAATTTAGCATTACTGTCGTTTTTATTTTCTATGCAAATTAATATGTGGTTTAGAATGATCTAAATAAGTGTATTTTTTGACTTTTTATGAAATATGAGTTGAGTATGAGTTGAGTTTGAAGTGATGTGTTAGAGAGGTGATATGACTTAAATAAGATGATGTGACTTAAATATGATAGTAACTTTTTTACTTTTTTAAGAATGACAAACAAGGCGTAAATATCCAAATGTATCATGCAACAATGGTTCGTACCATTAAAAAAAAAATTACTAAAAGCACTCATGTGGAAAATGCCAAAAAAGAGAGGCATAGATAGTGGGTGGGGCTCACTATCATATCATTAATGGTGCTATTAGAGTACCATTTTTAATACTCTCAACAATTTTTTATGTATCATTAAACAATTTCGCTAGGTATCTCTAATTTCCACTGATAAAAAAATGTTATATCATTTTTTATTTTGACTAACAGATCTTACCTACCAATGTGGCATGGAGTAATGGAAGTTTAGTATTTGAAATCGAACTCACTATAATAATATGATAAGTCTCACGTTTGACAAAAAAAAAAAAAAATTGATAATAAATTACACTTTTTATTCATGTAATTTAATTTAAATTTTATTTTGGTTCTGTTATTTGAATTTGAACAATTTAGTAGATATACTTTAAGTGGAGTTTTAATTTGATATTTCTATTCAATTTTTTGTTTTTTTTTTTATATTTTATATTTTTATCTTTTACATATACATCTCAAGATATCGACAAGTGTCTCAATCATTAATTTTGACTTCTAACTTCATTAGAATGACCAAATTAAAATTAGGTTTAAAGTGTAAAAACTAAACTATTTAAATTGAATGGCTAAAGTTCAAATTTGATCAAACTACAAGAATTAATAATGTAATTTAACTAAATATATATAATATTATTTTTTGAAAAAGATAATAAAAGTATACCAATGATATTCAAAATGATAATAAAAAAAAAAAACAATGATACATAAGGGCGCTTGAGGTAATAATATGGGTGTTTGGGAAGTGAGTTTTTATGTAGGTTTTTTTAGTTGTAGAATTTTATTGGAGAAATTTTTTTTGGTGTTTGGGAAGATAGTTGGGTTTTTTTGTAGTTGGATGTGATGTTTGTGAGGGAAAATTAAAATGATTATGGGGTTAGATGTGATATTTTATTTGAATTTGTTTTTTTGTGATTTTGCAAAAAATTTGTCTTTTAGTGAAAAAAAAAAAAAAACCCAACACACAAACTTCCCAAACACCACCTCAAATTTTGGTTTAAAAAAAAAAAAAAAAAACCTAAATTGTATGGCATCACTTAAAAATGTCCAATGCCACGTCTATAATTTTAACTTATAAAAAATATATTTTTAAACTATTTTTCAAACACATTATTATTTTTTATTTCTAAAAATCTAAAAAAACTAAAAAACTAATAAAAAAACTCAACACAAAACTCTCTAAAAATTAGGACGTGACGAGCCAGGGAATCTTAAAATTATTATAAAAAAATGGTGTATATTTTTTTGACAATTTTGTGTGTATTTTTTGACTTTTTATAAAAAATTTGTAAAAAAATAAAGAATGATGTATCTCAAAAAAGATAAAAAGATAAAAAGTGTGCTTATATAGCACACCCTAAACAAGCTTTTAGTATTGTGTAAAATTTTTATTATGTTTTTAATTAGTATTAATATTTTTGTAGTATTTTTGAATTTTTTTGGGGGTAAATTATATTGATAATCGTTACATTTTATCGTTTGTATTATTTTGGTTTCTTAAATTTTTAATTGGCTCAATTTTAGCCCTTACTTGTGTCTAATTCGATAACGTTGTTAGAATTTTTGAGAGAAAATAATAACTGAATTGGTTGAAGTTAACTTATTGAATTAATTAATTTTATAATTTTATCTCTATATCACTCAGGTACGGACTAAAATAACTTATTTTGTCTTTTGTAGCTAAAATAGCCAAAAAAAACCTTCCAAACCTTCTTCCCAAAATGAAAAATGAAAGGAAAAAAATATATTTTTGATTGGGCTAAGAAAATGAAACTAAAGTGAATAAGTATCCCTCAAAATTTTATTTATTTATAGTTACCCATAAAAGAATAAAAAAATTAATTTAGCATTACTGTCGTTTTTATTTTCTATGCAAATTAATATGTGGTTTAGAATGATCTAAATAAGTGTATTTTTTGACTTTTTATGAAATATGAGTTGAGTATGAGTTGAGTTTGAAGTGATGTGTTAGAGAGGTGATATGACTTAAATAAGATGATGTGACTTAAATATGATAGTAACTTTTTTACTTTTTTAAGAATGACAAACAAGGCGTAAATATCCAAATGTATCATGCAACAATGGTTCGTACCATTAAAAAAAAAATTACTAAAAGCACTCATGCATTGGAAAATGCCAAAAAAAAGAGGCATAGATAATGGGTGGGGCTCACTATCATATAATTAATTGTGCTATATTAGAGTACCATTTTTAATACTCTCAACAATTTTTTATGTATCATTAAACAATTTCGCTAGGTATCTCTAATTTCCACTGATAAAAAAATGTTATATCATTTTTTATTTTGACTAACAGATCTTACCTACCAATGTGGCATGGAGTAATGGAAGTTTAGTATTTGAAATCGAACTCACTATAATAATATGATAAGTCTCACGTTTGACAAAAAAAAAAAAAAATTGATAATAAATTACACTTTTTATTCATGTAATTTAATTTAAATTTTATTTTGGTTCTGTTATTTGAATTTGAACAATTTAGTAGATATACTTTAAGTGGAGTTTTAATTTGATATTTCTATTCAATTTTTTGTTTTTTTTTTTATATTTTATATTTTTATCTTTTACATATACATCTCAAGATATCGACAAGTGTCTCAATCATTAATTTTGACTTCTAACTTCATTAGAATGACCAAATTAAAATTAGGTTTAAAGTGTAAAAACTAAACTATTTAAATTGAATGGCTAAAGTTCAAATTTGATCAAACTACAAGAATTAATAATGTAATTTAACTAAATATATATAATATTATTTTTTGAAAAAGATAATAAAAGTATACCAATGATATTCAAAATGATAAAAAAAAAAAAAAACAATGATACATAAGGGCGTTTGAGGTAATAATATGGGTGTTTGGGAACTGAGTTTTTATGTAGGTTTTTTTAGTTGTAGAATTTTATTGGAGAAATTTTTTTTGGTGTTTGGGAAGATAGTGGGTTTTTTTGTAGTTGAATGTGATGTTTGTGAGAGAAAATTAAAATGATTATGGGGTTAGATGTGATATTTTATTTGGATTTGTTTTTTTGTGATTTTGCAAAAAATTTGTCTTTTAGTAAAAAAAAAAAAAAAAAACTCAACACACAAACTTCCCAAACACCACCTCAAATTTTGGTTTAAAAAAAAAAAAAAAAAACCTAAATTGTATGGCATCACTTAAAAATGTCCAATGCCACGTCTATAATTTTAACTTATAAAAAATATATTTTTAAACTATTTTTCAAACACATTATTATTTTTTATTTCTAAAAATCTAAAAACACTAAAAAACTAATAAAAAAACTCAACACAAAACTCTCTAAAAATTAGGACGTGACGAGCCAGGGAATCTTAAAATTATTATAAAAAAATGGTGTATATTTTTTTGACAATTTTGTGTGTATTTTTTGACTTTTTATAAAAAAATTGTAAAAAAATAAAGAATGATGTATCTCAAAAAAGATAAAAAGATAAAAAGTGTGCTTATATAGCACACCCTAAACAAACTTTTAGTATTGTGTAAAATTTTTATTATGTTTTTAATTAGTATTAATATTTTTGTAGTATTTTTGAATTTTTTTTGCGGTACATTATATTGATAATCGTTACATTTTATCGTTTGTATTATTTTGGTTTCTTAAATTTTTAATTGGCTCAATTTTAGCCCTTACTTGTGTCTAATTCGATAACGTTGTTAGAATTTTTGAGAGAAAATAATAACTGAATTGGTTGAAGTTAACTTATTGAATTAATTAATTTTATAATTTTATCTCTATATCACTCAGGTACGTATTTTTCATAAAAAATTATTAACAATTATAATTAATTATATTAAATTGAAATAAAATTACAAATTTAATATTAAAATCAATATAATTAAAATTATAAAAAAATTAAAATGACATCAGAATTAAGGTCAAGTTTGGCATGTCTTGAAAAAGACGAAAAGTCAAAATGTCACTATCTTATTTAAGTCACTATCTTATTTAAGTCACATCATCTTATTTAAGTCACATCATCTCTCTTACACATCACTTCAAACCCAACCCAAACCCAACTCATATTTTATAAAAAGTCAAAAAATACACTTATTTGGATCATCCCAAACAACCCCTAAATTACAGGCACAGTACCTGTTATTTTGTTTTGGATTGTTAGAGTTTTTGCGCGGATTACCAAAGCAAAGACCTTTCCTACAAAAGTAGTTGCTTTTCAGGCTATTGGGCAAAAAGATAAAATTGGCAAAGCTCTCACACTACACACACTTATGTGAATCAACACCCACCTCTCTCCTCAGCCTACTGCCTGAGGAAAGCCGCCTCATATGACATAGCTCAGTTACTCCAGCTCACCTACACACACAGAGAGACAGAGAGAGAGAGAGTCTGCATGTCTATCTGAGACACAGAGAAAGAGGAGAGAGAGAGAGAGAGAGAGAGAGACTGATATTGTTGTGTTCTGTTGTGTACACACCAACAGAGAGAAAAAGAGAGAAGCCCTAGCAGAGGTGTAAGAACCAGTAGGGTTTCAATTACAATTACACCTACACTCCTTACTGGTGTGTTTCTCTGGGTTTTCCACACTTTCATATGCTAAAGTTTCCAACTTCTCTCTCTATCTCTCTCATTCACTCTCAGTCAGTCAATAATACCCTCCAATCCCCCAACATGCCCATTAAAGCCCATCCAAGTCTCACCCCCCAGCTTTTCCACCCTTTCTTTCCTCATTAATCTCTCTCTCTCTCTCTCTCTCATCTTTCTGCACAGATCAAGAGGTTCTTTAATTAGAAAAAGCTTTACAGTGAAGTGGGTTTTGAAGGAAAAAATGTTGGAGTACGAATGGGGCAACCCATCCACAGTCATCTTCTCCGCCGAAGATTCCGACCAATCTCGTCAGATTTTCGATCAATCCTTCAACGAAACACTCCTTCATCAAACCGGCTTCTCTCAACCCCACTACCACTTCCATCAAAACCCGACCCAGACCCAAACCCATACCCATTCCCACTTTCACTCTCTCTATGACCCTCGATCCTTATTCGCTCCCTCCTACCCGCCTCCCTCTCCGGCGTTTCTCCCACCGGTGGCCGGTCCAACCGGTTTTGTGCCGAAGAGTGAACCGGGTGGGGGGGTCGTGGACTTTGGGTCGAGGATTGGGTTGAATTTGGGTGGCCGGACTTACTTCGCCTCGTCGTCGGGGGACGATTTTGTGAACCGGATGTACCGGCGGCCGAGGTCCGTTGAACCGGGTTCGATGATCAACTCGCCGAGGTGTCAAGCCGAGGGCTGCATTGCCGATCTGACTCACTCGAAGCACTACCACCGCCGCCACAAGGTCTGCGAGTTTCACTCCAAAGCCGCCACCGTCGTCACCGCCGGCTTGACTCAGCGATTCTGTCAACAATGCAGCAGGTTGAAACAAATTAAATTACCATAAAACCCTTAGTTTTCTTATTCACGTTCGCACAGGGCTGATAAAGGAACCAAACAAGTAGAGTTTAAACTTGATTTGAAAAATTTTGCCGAGTATTAAAATTTATTTGAGTTTGGTTTGTTAAATTTTTCTGTCAAGTTCAAATAATTTTTTGTCTAGTTTAATTCGAGTAGTTTGATATTTTTATATAATTTTAGAGTTATCAAATTTAACCAAATGAGCGATTGAGTATTCAATTGAAATTTGAAAACTTCAATGTAGGTTTTAAAATGTGTTTAAAATTAACTTATTTATTTAACCAATTAAGTTTGAATAAATTTTTAACAAATTAAACACGAATCCAACTTACACTATTTAGTTCATTTATTCCCTCAACCACACAATTGAACAATGCACTTTCTATGTCTCTCCACTTTTTCAATTCTTAGAGGAAAAACAAATTATGTGAAATGACAAAAATGCCCTTGGGTCCATTAGATTGAAAGATCGTTTAGTAATGACTTTTTTTAGTTGATTTTTTGATTTTTTTAGCTTGTGACTTTTTTAGTTGTTTGGTATTCTTATTTGATTTTTTTGACTTTTTGGTTTTGGAATGACCAAATTGCCCTTGGGATAGAATGATGTTTTTTTAACTTTTTGTTTGTATATGAGGTAGTTTGGTACTTTTGTAGTTTTTTTTTGTCTTTTTGTGATTTTATAGCAAAAGATGAAAACCAAACGATAAAGATGTTTGTTACAACTTAAAAAAATTGAATATAACTTATTTTAATTTGACGATATATATTAGATTGTCTCGTAAAGTTTTTTATTTATAGTGTACTAAATAGAAATAATTTAAATAAATTAAAAAAAATTAATTATTTAAAAATTTAAAAAAATTTAATTTATATTTTTTAATTATCAGCATTTAACTTATAATAATCTATGAAAAATGTTTGGGAGCACTAATTAGTGCTCCCACTAATTAGGTGGCAGTGGGTCTCGCTATTAATGATGTAATGTTTTGGTCTTGGAGTTGTATTTTTTTTTTATTTTTTTAATACATTAGTGCTATTAGTGGTGATGTTTTTAGTGGGATAAATCATTGTTGAATAATCTATATCAAACACGTCAATAATTGTTTGAGCAAGGATCCTCTAGAGTGATTTTTCCCTAAAGTTTCCTAGAGTGTTACATTGTGTGGTTAAGATTTACTGGCAAGTCACATCAATTTTTCTGATGTGACTTGCCAGTAAATCTCAACCACACAATGTAGTACTCTAGGAAACTTTAGGAAAATTTCACTCTAGAGGATCCTTGGTGTAATTGTTTGGGACGTACGTTGGGCAATCCCGAGGGCATTTACGTCCGTTAAAGTGTTTTTTTTGTGCTTCCATTATAAGCTGCCGTTTTGCGTTTACGTACTGTTTGTTTGTGCTTCTTATAGTAGTAGCATTTATCAACCCAATAAATGTTTCTTTTTGTTGCATAATAAATCTTTATTATTAGATAAAGCATACAATTATTTTATTTATTTATTTTTTTTTGAAGTTTTGTAATATATTTTTTCTTCAATTGAACCCATCTTCTTCATTTTAAATTGTTTAAAAATTTAGATATAAAATTATAAATATATCGTATTTACACTCACCATTATTTACATGTATGTAATTCATAATGTATTTAAACTTAGCTTTATTTTTAATCTACTCTTAAAAAAAATTTATTTTTTATTTTTATGGGCCAAAGGTGGATTTTATTAATAATAATCAAATTAAAGGATTACACATCGATAAGAAATCATGAGAAAAATTGTATTATATTTGAAACACGAAAATCCCAAGGAGATTGATACCTAGAACACAACACAATCATATGCAACCCCACGAAAGCAAGATGATGGATAACATAAACCACCCACTACCCGAAAATACCAACTTGAACTAGAAAACCAATGAAAAATAAGATGATGGATCACCAATGAGCCAAGAGAACTTTGATTTCTTTGACCAATAGAAACCAACACTGAAGGTGATGGTGAAACACAACACCAATCCTAGAAACCCAGAATTTCCAACAAACAACTGCAAACATGGCTTCCAAATGTTCAGATCAATTTGGGCCAAATCTGATTCAAGCTTTTAAACTGCCTCATGAACGTCCACTTGAAGCTTCAATAGCACCCCGTACCATTAACGAGGGCGTTTTGGGTGTTTTGAGCCATCCAAACCATGAATTTTCGGATTACCTACATTGATGTCTTATTAATAAGTTCAATATCAATAATATCATTGACCAAAACATCTTCAAAACCTTCAACTTGAATGCCCCGCACCTTTGCTGTCCGAATAGTCTCCTCCGCCTTGTGAACCAAGGCCTCTTCAGAGTCCAAATGGTGACCTAGCTCCTTGGCTCTTCAATTGCAGATCGATGATTGTGACTGGATTGTGTCCATCAGCTCACCTTGCAACTCCTTGCGATTTCTGGCCCTACCTTTCTTTGACAACTTGAGAGGAAGCCCTAATTCCCACAGAGATTTCTTCACTCTTCTTTTCTTGACTCTTTTCTTATTGTTTAACTCCTGAAGCGATTTCATTGATCTTATCTTGGATTCACTCTGCTTTGTGATAGCAACAAAGACAAAACATTAGCCCCATCAAAGGCTATGTCAAATGGGCTTTGAGTAGATAATGAGCTAAACTTGAGTAATTAAGTTTTTTGTTTTTATAATGCGTATAATTTTTTTCCAAGTATAGTTGTTTAAACTTGATTTGAAAATCTAAAAATCAACTTTGAGCTATTTTCAAACTTTAATTTATTTATGCAATGAATTGATTTTGAATTAAATTTTCAACAATCGAATTTGAGTATCTTGATTTGAATCATGTATTGATATGGATTTGATTCTCAATTTAAATGAGTAGATATTAGATGTAACGGTGTTATGATATGATGGTAACAGATTCCACCAGCTTTCGGAGTTTGACAACGGGAAAAGAAGCTGCCGGAAACGGTTGGCTGATCACAACCGGCGACGCCGTAAGTCTCATCATCAGCTTCCAAACCATGAAACCAAGTCCCAGCTCCAAAATGCTCGCCATTCATCTTCTGAAAACCTTGCAAGTAAGCAGCTTCATATACATACATATGCACAACACACAGATATGTTTATATATGTATATCCTCATGCACATGCCAGACTCTTAGGCATTGTTTGAGAACAAGTTATATTAAAGATATATAGAAAACTAAGGAAAGTGATGTGACAATTTATAGTGACATTTTGACTTTTTAACTAAAACATGTAGTTATCAAATGAGGCCTTAGCACCGAGATCAAAAGTTTAAGAAATGTTTAGGGACTTAAAAAAAATTATTTACAAAGAAAGATATATGGTCGAGATTCATTTTATATGTTAGTTTTACTATACAACAATTACATCTAGAAGGCAGCTTGTCTCCTGTTGATAATTTTAACTGGATAATGCTGGTGGGCCATCGTGGGTTCACTGGACCACTTCGATTATACAAACTATTTATTGTATAGGACTTTTAAATAAAATTATTTATTTAAAAAATTATGTTGATCAGATAATCATAACTATATGATCTGATCACATTTATCTTAAAAATAAATAAATAATAAAAACATATATGATTTTCAGAATAAATCATCCATTATTTTGAGGGTTAATTACATTAAAATTCCTTTAACTATTAGTAAATATCACTTTATTTCTCTCATCTATATGTACCCGCACATATTGACCTTTTAATTATGAAAATTATACAAATATATCTCTTTTGGGGAGGTTTGAAAGGGGCTTGCAGAGGGGTAAATGTGATATATTTTTATAATTGAAGGGGTCAATATATATCAGTTAATAGATGAAAGAGGTAAAGTGATATTCACTAATAGTTAGAGGTCTTGATGTAAATAATTCTTATTTGAAAAATATATATGATCTAATCATATGATTACAATTAGCCCATGATTGTAATCTTTTGTACGAATAATTGTCTGAAAAGATTTACAAAAATAAATAATTTAAATTATTAAAATAGGTAGTATAATAGGCCCACAGTATCACAATAGGAACCACAGAACCAGATATCCATTTTCTGGTTGCTATTTCTAGGATAGTAGCAAAAGTTTTTATTGCAAATCTACCCTCCTAGAATTCTTGGGTCGATATTTAAACTAAATTTAAATTACACATTAATAATTTTAAATAAAATTTTTGGTATAATTTTTGAATTTATAATATTATTGAAATCTTTAATCTTATCATAATCAAGATTTTCCAAATTACCGCAGCTTTCCATGTACTAAACAAAAATTATGAATTTTGTTAAAATGTGTAGGAACCAAAATAATGTAAGAGAAAAAATATAGGCACTACCAGTATAATTTGTCTAATTATATTTGTATTGTAATAAGTATATGAAATATGATAATCTTATAAATTTTTAAACAATTTCTTGATTAGAATGATATGCAAGTAGCATTGTAAAATATATAAGTCGACGTTAAATTAAGATTTATTAAATTAATTGAGAGGTGTAATTTGTTTTAAATAGTATAAAAAAAAATGAGATTTTGGTTATATTATTTAAGATGACTGCTATTAGCACCTATTTAATTTCTGTGAACCCCCAATTCTTACTTTTTTTTTTTAATTACAATTATACTCTGAAGTAAAATTATATTAAAGTACAATATTTAACGGAATACCCATCCACCAAATAAAGATAACTCTATAATATTTGTACACTCACATCCCTTACCTAAACGTATTCCCTACCCACCTAAACCTAATGTATCCCTCTTTATCAACATTCCTCTTCATCATTATCTTTAAACCCAACGTTCCTCTTTATCACAATCATAAACCCTAAACGTATTTTTTTTCATCACAATCCTAAACCCTGAACCAGAAATCAGTGGCTGAATTAGAATGGATGTCTGTTATTTTGTTTGTTATATTGAATTGCAATGAAAAAAAGTGAATTGAGAGTTAAGTTACACAATCCTGTACAAATGCTTTTCGGCAACACAGTGTTGAAAAAATTATTTATGTTCGGTAACACAGTATTGAACAAATAATTTCTGTTTGGCAACACAGTGTTGACAAATTGTTTATGTTTGGCAACATAGTGTTGAACCAACCCTTAGGCGGTCGATCGGCCAGATGACCGGGTAGTTAATCGGTGGTGTGATTTTGGTTTAGTTTTACAACAATGATGCAATGGTTTTGATAAAATGGACACCTTTGTTCACTGATTTTAAATAAATCAAAGAGAGGGATTGCCGTCGTCATTGTTTTTCAATAGGAGAGGGAAGGAGAGGACCGTCTTCAACCATGATGGAGAAGGTGTACAAAATTAATTGGGTGTGCACTTGGTGTGAAGATATTATGAATATGGGTAAATTTGGTATTAAGTGGGGTGTTAAAATAAATCTTATAAAAATTTAGGATTTAGCATGGGGGTTCAAAGAAATGGGAGATCTAAAGAATTAAGGTAGGTGCTAATGGCAGTCTTCTTATTTAAATTATTCTATTTCTAAATTGACATTTGTGTCCAACTAATTATGTTTCAATATATATATATTTTTTTAATCAGCAAAAAAGATTACTTTTATTGATGGAATTAGTATACATACATATAAGAGGTACATCAATTAAAGAGAGGGAGTAGTAAAACCGTCTTGTAATTGTTATTCATTTGTGTAACTGTCTTCAATTAGACCACATGACTCAAATAAAATACTTTAGGCATTAAATAGATGAAATTGGTAGTTTAAAAATGAAATAAAAAAATGATAATTTAGAGAATAAAAAAGAAATTAACCATTTTAAATTTATTTTTACGCTGTGTTTGGTTGGGGGCTAAGAAGCATGGACACGGACACGTGACACGACACGAATACGACACGGACACGCCGACACGTTAATTTTAAAAAAATGCAGGACACGACACGTGGAGGACACGCATGAAATATATAATTTTATATATTTATTATATGTTATATATATGAATATATCATTCAAAGATAATAAAAAATGCAATATAGCACTACTTCCTATAAATTTATATGGTTTTTGTTTTATTATTGTATCTTAAGTTGTTTTGTTCAAACTTATAATTAGTTTTACATATCTATAATCAATACACACATGTGTTTAAACAATTGACACGTGTGTCCTCCAAGTGTCCAAAGAGTGTCCGGGTCTTTAAAAATATTTAAAAAATAGGGCACGTTTTGAAGAGTATCGGACACATGTCCTAAGAGTGTTCAAAGAGTGTCGGTGTCCGACACGGACACGACACGGATACGTCACCTTCTTAGAAGTGTCCGTGCTTCTTAGGTTGGGGGATTGGAGGAGGGATTTGGAAAGGGAAAGGAAAAAGTTAGGTGAAATATGAGTAAAATATACCTACATTTCACCTAATTTCACACATCTTTTCCCTTTTTCTTTCCAAATCCCTCCTCAAAACCCTCAACCAAACACAGTATTAGGGTCTCCAATTATGTGTAGTTCTTGTATTTTGATTTGTATCAATATATATATTTTTTACTGGTAAAAAAAGAAGAAAAAAAAAGAAAGAAATGTCATTTGACCAGTGAAAATTTGTATTATGGGATTTATTTTTAGGGACTTCGGCAAACTCTGAAGCTCAATCGTCTTCGTTGGTGACAATGGCGATCTCACCACCGCGAATATCATTGGATTGTTTTCGGCAAAGATTATTTCAGGCTACCACAACGACTCCATCACTGTCAACAAGCTCACTCTTTTTCTCAAGTGGGTAATTTTCAGGCAATGTAAAATCTCAAGCTCCATCAACAATGGATGACTAGTGAAGAATATCAAGGAATTAATAGGTGTTTTAACAAATTGTTGCTAATTTCGTAATTTTATAGAGACGTGAAAATGTTGTATTTATCTATAAAAGCTTTCCTACTCTACAAATTGAAGTTTCAACTGTGGAATTCAATTTATTCTCAAAATTAAACATTATAGTGTGTGGATAAATTTTATTATCACATTATGATAAAATGTGATTAACAATTACGTTTTTATAATAGCATTTTTTTATCGGTAAAAATCAATTGTTAATTGTTAGATAAGCATAATTGGAGTTAGCCTCTTCATCTTTAGAAAGGACTAATTGCCTCTTAATTCAACTCTCACTTAGGGCCTTGGGACTAAGCCTTACAACGCATCAAGTGTTTGTCTCAAAATTCAACTCTCACTTAGGGAGAATTAAACTCATGATCTCTTCCTTAAAATTAAACTTTTAAAACAGTTATGGGGAGTTAGTTTACGTTTTTATAATAGTATGATTGCTAATCAAGTTGATTTTATTTGTTTTTGTTATATTTTTTTATTTTTTATTTTTAAACTTAATACATGCGTTCTGTTTATTTTGAAGTAGTGTTAATTCCTTAGAATGGATATTGAATGAAATAAAATAATTATTTCTTAATATTCATAAGAAATGATCATTTTTGTACACTAGTAAATGATTATTTTATTTACAATGTGTTTTTTCATAATTGTTTTTAGAAAAATAAAAGTAAGAATGAACATATATTGGAATAATAATTTCATTCTATACTTATTTTAGTAAACCAAACACTATGGTTCTATTTGTTTGAAATTAAAATATCTTTTTATTTTGGATGAATTATGCTAACAGTTTCTCCGGTTTAGAACTTGTGCCACTTTGATATTTAACTTTTCAATTATGATACATTTAATATTGAATTATGAATTTTGTTCCAAATAAGAAGAATTAAAGATGTTTTCTTTGCAAATAGTCAATTTCAAGGGCAATATCGTCATACAACTTATTTTGTATTGATTCACTTGTATGTTATTTGAAATGTAATGACATTTTTTTAATGAATAATGCTGATAGTTTCTTGGTTATAAAATTCTGTTTGGTTTGATTTTCAGAGTCTATTTTCAAATTTTTTTTTCTAAGAAACTAAAAATTAATTTGGTGAAAAATAATTAAAAACACATCATTTTTATATAATTTTATCATTTAGAAGGGTAGAAATATTTTTTTTTTAATATTTTATTTATTTATTAGATTGGTTATATTTATTAAAAAAATTATTTTTAAAAATGAAATAATGATTTTTTTAACAAAAATGAAAATGTAATTCTTTTAAAAAAAATTTCATTGTTAAAATATTTTTTATATTTATTAAAAAAATTAATTTATCTTTTTCTCCAAAAAATTACTTTAACAATTAAATAATCTTTTATTTCCTTTTTGTCCAAAAAATGAATTACGTTTCCAAAAGTTCGTGTGTCATTTTTTTAGATCATCTTGGTCAACGCTTGACCAATTTCAATCATTATTTTATTATTTTCTTGTTAAGGAAATCAGTGAGGTGTTTTATAAAAATAATTACAAATCAATAATAGAATTATAATATTAAATTAATTATAGTTTTATATTATAATTTTTTTTAAAAAGTGCACTGATTTGTAATTTCTCCTTAAATTTTTAGCTACAATTGTTTCATTATCATTAATATTGTTTTATAAAATATTTTGTCAACCAAAACAAAAAATATATATATATAATATATTATTTTTGTCAAAAATATTTTTATCGAAACAATGAAACCTAATGCATAATTCAAATTTATAAATAAAATTTGTAGTACACTATTTTTTTAATTTTGTATTAAAAAAAGGTAAAATGATTAAAGTCTAATATTCTCATATAACGAATCTACCAGATTTTTCAAGACTGGTTGTGAGGTGGATTAGTTTTTTTAGATTTTAACTATTTAATTTAGGGTTAAAAAAGTCGTATTGAGATAGATTTTTTACATTTTTTGACTTTTCAATGAGCGAATAAAATAAAATATTTATGTAAATTTATTAATTTTTATTTAATAATTAAAATTTTAAAAAAATAACCCTTTATTTTATCTTATATGATAATTTTAATCCAAAAGTTCTTCCCCAAACAAGCCTCCAAGAAAATGCGTTTCCGGAAATTTCCCATTTGGAACTTTCGCAATTCTTGTTGTTTGGTTACAACTGTGAGAGCCTTGGCAATTGCATTTTTTTTTTTGTTGGTCCCTTGATATTTTCCCGGAAATTGCAAATCACCGAGTCTGCAAATTCTTAAGCCACGGTTGATATAAATTTTAATGGAGATTTAAAAAGATTTGTAAAAAATAAATAAGAAAAGAATTAGCATAAATTTTATGGGAGCTTTTTTGATTAAATCTATTTTTAAGAGTTTTATTTCATCCCAACTCATTAGTCTGGTTTGACTATTCCATAGGATCAATTTAGATTAAGGAAGACCAAAATACCATTTTCAGTCTACTATGTTCCATTTAGTTCACATTATTGCTATGGTTCAATAAGTTCTATGGGTTGACATAATTACCAAATACCCTTGAATGTTGAATGTTCACACCGTCGAATATAAATTTTATATCGTCAATATGTAGGGGCCCGGCTTCATGTCGCATCCTCGTGAGGTGCCTGGAAAAATTTGAGTCTGCCGGGCCGGCCCACAAGCCAAAAAAAATAGGTTCTGCCCGGCCCTGTTGATTAATATTATATATTCACATTGACAAGTTAACTTCACATTGATATGAGTGTAAAATTATCCTGAGCCCTGGGCGGCCTGAGACCGGCCCGTTGCCCGGACGGCCCAGGCCGGCCCGTTCACAATATGAATATTCATATTGACATGTTAACATTAACATTGATAGGAGTGTAAAATTTGCCCGCTGCCCGAAGCTTGCCCGCGGCCCGGGGTAGGACCGGCCCGGCCCGTTGACAATGTGAATATTCACATTGACATGTTAACATTCACATTGATAGGAGTGTAAAATTAGCCCGCGGCCTGTGGCCGGCCCGAAACCCGCCTACGACTCGTGGGCTGCCTTAGGCGAGCTCGACCCGACCCGTTGATAATGTAAATATTCACATTGACATGTTAACATTCACATTGATAAGAGTATAAAATTAGCCCGCGCCCCGTGACTGCCTGAAACTAGCCCACGACCCGTGGGCAGATCGGGGCGGGCCCGACTCGGCCTATTGACAATGTGAATATTCACATTGACATATTAACATTCACATTGATAAGAGTGTAAAATTGACTCGCGTCCCATGGGTGACCCGGGGCGAGCCCGGTCCGGCCCGTTGACAATGTGAATATTCACATTGACATATTAACATTCACACTGATAGGAGTGTAAAATTGACCCGTGGCCCGTGGGCGACCTGAAGCCTGTCCGCTGCCCAGGGCGGGCCCGGCCCAGCTCGTTGACAATGTGAATATTCACATTGACATATTAACATTAACATTGATAAGAGTGTAAAATTAGCCTGTGACCCGTGGGCAGCCCGAAGCCCGGCCCCGGGCCGACGCAGGCCCGGCCCGTTAACAACGTGAATATTCACATTGACATGTTAACATTCACATTGATAAGAGTGTAACATTAGCTCGTGCCCCGTGGCTGCTCGAAATACGCCCACGGCTCGTGGGCGACCCGAGGCGGGTCTGGCTCGGCCTGTTGACAATGTGAATATTCACATTGACATGTTAACATTCACATTGATAAGAGTGTAAAATTGACTCGCGTCCCATGGGCAGCCCGAAACCCGTGGGCGGCCTAGGGTGGCCTGGGTTTAGGTTCTTCAGGCAGCAGCCTCGGGCAGCGTACAAGTTTTACACTCCTATCAATGTTAATGTTAACATGTCAATGTGAATATTCACATTGTCATGGGTCGGGCCAAAGCCCGCCTCGGGTTGCGATCGGACTTCGGGCCGCCCACGGGCTGCGGGCCAATTTTACATTTCTATCAATGTGAATGTTAACATGTCAATGTGAATATTCACATTGCCAACGGGCCGGGCCTGCCCTGACCCGAGGTCAGGCTTCGGGCTGCCCACGGGTCGCGTGCCAATTGTACACTCTTATCAATGTGAATGTTAACATGTCAATGTGAATATTCACATTGTCAACAGGCCGGGCCGGGCCCGCCCCGGGCCGCCTACGAGCCGTGGACGGGTTTCAGGCAGCCACGGGGCGCGGGCTAATTTTATACTCCTATCAATGTGTATGTTAACATGTCAATGTGAATATTCACATTGTCACGAGTCGGGCCAAGCCCGCCTCGGGCTGCGATCGGGCTTTGGGGCGCCCACGGGCTGCGGGCCAATTTTACACTCTTATCAATGTGAATGTTAACATGTCAATGTGAATATTCACATTGTCAACGAGCCGCCCCGGGCCCGCCCCGGGCAGCGGGCGGGCTTTTGGCTGTTTATGGGCCGCGGACCAATTTTATACTTTTATCAATGTGAATGTTAACATGTCAATGTGAACATTCACATTGTCAACAGGCCGGGCCGGGCCTGCCCACGGGCCGTGGGCCAGTTTCGGGCAGCTATGAGGTGCGGGCTAATTTTACACTCATATCAATGTGAATGTTAACATGTCAATGTGAATATTTACATTGTCAACGGGCCGGGACGGGCCCGCCCCGGGCTGCGGGCGGGCTTTTGGCTGCCCATGGGTCGCGGTCCAATTTTATACTCTTTTCAATGTGAATGTTAACATGTCAATGTGAATATTCACATTGTCAACGGGCCGGACCGGGCCCGCCCCGGGCCGCGGGTGGGTTTTGCGCCGCCACGGGACGAGGGCCAATTTTACACTCCTATTAATGTGAATTTTAACATGTCAATGTGAATATTCACATTGTCAACGGGCCAATTTACATTCTTACAAATGTGAATTTTAAAATATGAATGTTCAGATCATTAAATTGCTAATCGTTGAAAAAATATTTATAAGGGTATCAAAATTAAATATAAGGGCATAAGTGTCCAAGAAAATAGTGTAAATCAAGAAAATGGACTTTATGGAATAAAACTATACATACATGGGACTAAATGGGTTAAAAAATTCCTTCATGGACTTCTTGGGTTAAAACACTTCTAAATTGGACTTATCAATAAAAATCTCAAATTTTATTTACATTATCATCATTTTTTTTTTTTTCAAGTCTCT